GTGTTGGTGACAGTCGCAGTAGAGTTATTCGCAAAAAAATGAAGCATTCCATGTTGACTGTCTGAAGAGAAAAGTGAAATTTCCAGCATCCATTATGGTCTGGGGCAGCATGTCCATCAAAAGGAGTAGGAAAACTTCATTTTATTGATGGAAATGTGGATACAAACAAATACAGGGTCCGGCAATGAAGTATGGTGTTTTGCAACGACTATTACATGCAGCACTGTCGAGCAAATGTTTTCACGATGATTGATATCTACTCGTTTCGCGATGCCATTTTAGTAGCCATGGAGCCGTGGTCTGTGGCACATCGCGTGTTTATTTACAAACACTTTTATGAAACTGGTCGTTCTGTTGTGCTCACACAGCGACGATTTCGAAACCATTTTAACGTTGGTCGGCATGGTCGCGTTCCAAGACGCGATACCATTTTGAAGTGGGTGAATAAATTTCAAACAACCGGATCGTTGAGACCTGGTACTGCAAGGGGAAGAGATCGAACAGTGCGAACTCCGGAAAACATTGAAGGAGTGCAACAAGCGGTGGATACTAGCCCTCACCGTTCAGCGGTACGTCACGCTCGCGCTCTTAGAATGTCAGATTGTTCAGTTCGCAGAATCTTGCATTTGGACCTCCATCACCATCCGTATAAAATGATGGTTGTGCAGAAGCTGCTCCAAAATGACTTTGTGAGACGACACAGGTTCGCAGAAAGGATGCTGGAATTGCTGCACGGCAACATCGTTTTGTTCATGAGGGACGAGGCCCATTTTCATTTATCGGGCATGGTAAACAAACAAAACTTCCGATACTGGGCACACGAAAACCCACGAGAACTGCATAAACAACCTCTGCACTCTGAGAGGGTAACTGTTTGGTGTGCCGTATCTCGAAATTGCATAATTGGCCCGTATTTTTTTCGTGAAAACGGACGAACAGTGTCAGTGAACTCAGATCGTTATTGCGCCATGTTGCGTGATTATTTTCTGCCCGAACTAAGAAGACGACGCAACAAGATGGGGCGACTTGCCATACATCAAGAGCTGCAATGGGCTTTTTAAGGGAACATTTTTCTGGGCGCCTTATTTCGTTGCATGGAAATGTGGAATGGCCACCTCGGTCACCAGACCTTTCATGTTGTGACTACTTTTTATGGGGCTATTTAAAATCCAAAGTTTACATAGACAAACCGCAAACTCTTGAGGCTCTTTCGGAACTCATAACGCGCGAAATTGAAAGGATTCCTCGTGCCATGCTAGAAAGGAGTATGGATGATTTTGCAATCCGTCTCCAAGAATGCATCGACAAGAATGGACGCCACCTAACTGATGTAATTTTTCGCACCTGACTATGTTATGTTACTTAAATGGCATCATTCCACTAATGTATTAAAATAATTAATTTTGATGTATGTTTAAAAATGAAAGTTTGTAATTTTTTTCAAAAACACCATACTTCATTGCCGGACCCTGAATTTGGCAATTTTAGAAGAATCGCTTTTACCAGTGATGGAAGAATGTTTGACATCCGGCCAAGATTTTGTGTTTCAGCAAGATGGTGCAGCGTGCCAAACCTCAAAACACTATGCCCCAAAGAATTTCAGCCGTAATAAAAATAAAGGTGATGTTACACAATGGTAATCTTTCAATTGTTGCTTTGTTAACTTCGCACATTGTTTATTTGTTCAGATGTTCTATTAGTTGTAGGTCTAAGTGATTTCAAATATGTATTTTTTACGACTAGAGTGTATCTAAAATGTTTTTGAGAAAATAAATTGTTTTAGAAGTAAATAGTTTCGCCATGTTTAGTTTATAAAGGCTGGTACAAATCTTGAAGTGTTCCAACTGAAGTGGGAAGGGACTCGTATAGTTTTTTGCAAAGATTCACAAATTTTTACATGCGATCAACACCGATTCGAAAACTGAGAAAACAACAAGTATGCCGCAAATCTAAGTTCGGCCAACGAAAGTCTGAAGAATAACTGTAACATCTATATTGAATTTCAAAAAATAATTGACTATACCTATTGATATTTTTATCACCTGCTGATATAATAGAAGTGGCTGATTGTGTCACTATTTACACCAATTACTTGATTTGTTTAACGGGTACTTCAGAGTATTAATCCTTAAGCTTAGTACACACTAGAAGACCCCGTTGCGCAATTTGTCTTTTGGCAGAATGGAGACGGTCTCAAGACACGATCTATACTCGTGGATGGTTTATAGACATCCTTATTTGTCTCGTCATGATGATCAGCACCCATGAGAAAAATTCCTGTGGGTATCCATGGACAATAATATTATTGTTCTCGGCTTTTCCAGAGACAATTTCAGCTTCAGCTTCCTCTCGAGATATGCCTGACGGCACTGTTATTATTCGTGATCGATACTTTTCTATATCCTCCTTGGAGTTCTTGATCTCAATAATGTACTGATCCAGGAGCGTTGAATCACTTATAACATTTTCAGTGACTTGAAATTTCTTTCGAGGCAGTTCCAGTTGAGTCTTGACCGAAGCAAGTTCCATTTGCTTCTCATTGTATTCCTCCTCGAGCTTTCTAACTTTATCTTCTAGCTCAGGTATTTTTCTGTTAGTCAACGTCTCGATGTCTTCATTAAGCCGTTGTAATTTGAATTCTTCCATCATGATCTTTGCAGACCTATACTGGTCTTGTTGTTTTTGAAGAGTTTCTTTATTGGTATAAGATTCTTTTAGTGACTCGTCCCGATGCCCTTGTGATTAGCGCCGTCCATCCGGTTTCTAGTTACAGCGTTAGGTGTTATCTTTGTGAGAACATTCCTGACTTTGCATTTTGCTATATTTTACTTCTTATAAACTGAATATGAAATGTAACTAGCGTTGTTGTCATCCTGTTTTCATCCAATAAAGTTCCTGCTATAGTTTCGAACCGAAACCACACTGTTTCATTTCTTATACCCGTAAATATGTTGTGTGTAGATGCGTGCCAAAGTAAGAGTAACTATGAAATGTAGGTGTAATATTAGGTAGGCCATGAAATGTACCTTCACGTGTAATATGTAGTAGGTAGGCCTGGGGGGGGTTAGGTTTAGGTTGGTTAGGTTAACCGATTTTTCGTTAGGTTTAGGTTGGTTAGTTTAGGTTATTGGTATAAGATTCTTTAGTGACTCGTCGAAAGATTTCTCTCTACAAGCTTGCTCAACTTTCTTCTTGTAATTGTCCAATTGTTCTTTAACCGACTCTAGTTTCCACTTGTGCGTTTTGAGCTCGGTTTCCAGGCCGGAAACGGCTTTTTCCAACTTCCCCATACGAATGGCGAGTCTTTTACACTTAGCTTCTTCTTCATTTCGAATTCGTATAACAGACCTTTTGAAATTGCTTTCGGTTATATCATCACCAAATAGTAGCTTGAAATTAGAAGCATGTGCTGATTTGATCTTGTTAATTTCCATTTCTTTCTCAGCAACTGCTGCGATTTCGCGTTCTAGATTCTGCTCATGGTGGTAGTTTTGTTGCAGGATTCTACGTTCTCGTTCCAGTTTTTCAAGAGACTGTTCTTTAGCATTTATAGCTCACGTGAGCTCAAGTATCTCGAAATTTTTATCCTGTTCACTAAAACTGCTTTTCAAAGATGTAGAGTGGTTTGTAATTTTTCGATTTTGTCACCAACTATTTTTAGGTGGGAATCAGATGAATCGAATTCGTTCATTTCATCTCTGATGCCTCTACCTGTCTACCTAATTCCCTCAGAATCCTTATTTAATTCTAACATTTGTCTAAAGTAACCATGTTGCTCTAGTCGAGTCGATGTGGTTTTGTATTCTTACTTCCTGCCTTATCTCTGACGAGTTTTGCTGCTATTCTGTCTCTTGGTTTTTGTATTGCACTCTCTAGTTCATCGGCAATTCTTCTGTATTCTCCCCAAATCAATATTACTGTTAATGTCTAGTTTATTTCTCAACTTTCCACTATAATTTAACTTCCTTTTGTTTATTTCTATGCTGTTTTGTTCTTCCTTCAGTTCTCCTATCTCATTTGAATTTTCTGTATATCCACACTCACAATGTTATTTTCTTCAATAATTTCTTTATTTTTCTGTTTTAGTTGTTCAATATTATCTTCTTCAACTTGTTGTAAACTGCTTAAAGGAACTGATTCGGATTTGTAGTTCATCGTCTGTTCCTTCAAACACAAGTGTTATTTTCTTCAATAAGATCTCCTGCTGGTCTTGTAACCCTGAAAGGTAAGTTAATATACTCGGTGACTTTAGAAGCATTACACCCAGAAATAATTTCATCAACTTGATTTTTTTGGGAATGAGGTAGTCTTAAATCGAGAATGAAACGATAACATCCTCACGAAATTTTATTTACAAATCTCCTCCCCATTATATACCACACATGTTCGATGAGATTGAAGAAACAACACACAGAATCGCGACTCGTCGCTAAAGATGAGATTATGCCATTTTGTCTTCCAATGTTGTCGTTCTCTGCTCCAGTTCAAACGTTGACGACAGTTGGCCGTAGTCAGAGGAAGCACTAATCGTGGACGGTATGAATAAAGTCCAAAGGCTCTAATGTGGCGATAGAGTGACGCCTACATTCTTCCTGCGAACCATCGGTCAGTGATCTGACGCGTAGTAGCAAAACGGTCTCGCAAGGCTTGTTGTCTGAAGGACCAATCTTGACGCTCTGTGGTACGCCTCGGTGCAACGGTTGGCCTTCTTCGTGTCCCTCTACCTTTTTCTATCCACACACGATCCACGCGCATTACCGTCATTGCAATACAATTAAGACTGCTGCCAATTTCGCGATAAGATAAACCAACATCTCGACGGGCTGTAATTGTACCCCTGTCAAAGTCGCTAACATGGCGATTAATTTGGACGTTTCCGAACTCGAGGCATTTTGTTACGTTTAATACTAGTACCCCTACTGAGCGGGGCCGTGGCAAATGCTTGTTCCGGAAGTTGTTGTATCCAGTATACAACTTCTTCCCGTTCAAATGATTGTACACGCGTTAAGGAATACCTCAGTACCGATTGCCGGGTGGCGGTACAAGTCCGCCAACGGGCCACTTTAGGTCTATTTAATGTCATTAACACGCAAAAAGAATTTGGTAGACAAGGACCAGTCGCCCGAGGCGGTGCCACCCGCTAGCTTTTCCCAGGGTGTTTTCTATCTTTCCTTGGAGAGATGTCTGTTTCACTGACACGGATGCGTCCCCTGTCTGTTCTTCGATAACCGAAATTATCCACGTCGGAATGGAGGAATACATCCCTCATACAGTGAAAGTGCCTAAACCAGGGTGGTCCAAGGGTTGTGTGACACTGCTCGCCAGCAGAAAGTCAAGGCACGCAGAACCCACTGCAGAGAACAGACAAGCCGACGTCGAGTCCAGAAACAAATATAACGAAGCGGTTCGCAATTCCAAAAACCAGCACGATATAAAAGTTAGGCACAGGGTAATGTCGCACCGCGATGGCAGTCTGTCTTTCTGGATGCTGGCCAAGCAGGTTGAAAAGAATTTCTGACACAGTAGCCTTCCACCAGTTACGTGGCAGGATGGAACGATTGTATTCGACTCATAGGCCAAGGCGGAAGTGCTAGTCAAGATGTTTGCTGCCAACTCCACCATAGACGTCCCCTAGAACGCCCAAGTGTCGTCAATTCAACGGGTTCCCTACATTATGCGGGAAGTAAAATTCAGGTATAAGATCGTACACTCAGCTCTCAGAAACTGCGTTCTTCACAAAAACTAAGAGATAACATTTTAGCAAAGGTAAACAAGAACAAAAATAAATGGTCGACACTGTCGCCACAGCATGCTTCAAATAATATAGTCATGTTGTCAAAAAACCAAGTTGAAGAAATTATTTTTTTCTGGCATAACACATCTAATGTCACTGAGTATCTTACGAGGAATACTAGAAAAGAAATCTATCTAGGCATTAAACAAAAGACGTACGAAGAATTTTTCGTTTCCTCTCGACTGTCAAAAAAGTCGTCGACGGTTGTTTTTTAAGCCATCATCCGAGTCAAATGGCGTCCCGGTTTTTCTTTATTAATTCAAAAAGTAAAAGTTAGAAGGATCCAAGTTCGGCCTATAGGGATGATGGTCGTCTATCTCAACGAGACTGCATTCCTTCATAACTGGTCTAATTTTGGCGGCCTTATGAACATTAGCATTGCCTTGCAGCAGAAACGCTTGTCGATTGGAAAAATCGATTACCAAAAAAACTGATGCCATCAGGTGTCAACAGTCGTGGCTGACACTTTGCTCATGTTCAAATTGTGGTGTAGGATGGTGATTACGCTGGGTTCCGATATATTCAAATGCCTAATGGTAGAGACCTTCACACGACGATTTTGCCAGAAATTTTATGATACTGGGATACTCTAAATTTGAGTTACTCATTTTTCCTCACAATTCACTTCGTAAGTAGGAAAGTGATTATCAAAGTTAACTAAACTAAGTAATTATGCTTGTGCATTTCAGTTGTCTAGGTAGATTTCTTTTCTAGTTTCCTTCGTAGTTGCTGATACACATTTGTAAAGTATGTCCTATTATACGGGGTGTAAACGTTATGATAGTCATTAAAAAGCGACTTTAAAGTAAAATGAATTCTGACATCGCCGCAATGGCAGACGCACATTAAGACGGAACGCAGTGTAAATAAAGATCGAGTTTGTTATTTTTGGCACTTAGGTATTATTTCATTATTTGATAATGTACTCGTAAAATGCAAACAATTAAAAAAAACGGACTTACCACTAACTGTCTCAGCACTTCATCTGGTGTGTGAAAGTTTATTGGACGTATTAAAAAAATCCACTTATCTAAATAGGGAACACAATTTCGATACATACATTGTTTTTCTTTTTAAAACCCACACTGCACTTTTTTGTATTTAAAGGTGTTCAAAATGTCGTCCTCCAGTTTCCACACAAGCTTCATTACGACCTTCACGAATGGTATGAGGATTTTCTTGTGCCCACGTGTGAGTATTATGGAAATTTAACATCCCGTGTCGCGTAAAAGTACATTCGGCCCTTTAAAAAATCCGGCTTTCCAATGTTCTTGTGCAAAAACCACTGACAGAATGTTAGTCTGCGAGGATAGTCTTCTGGTAACAAGGCCTGCACTCGTTGTGCATGCTAGGGATAAAGCAAATTTTCCCGTAAGATTCTACGGACTACTATGGTATGCGGCGGCCTAATTCCCGAATGCTGATATCTGCATTGACTTCCACGACATTTGAAATTCGTTCCTCCTGCTCTACAGTAAACTATCTTTCACGAGTGCGAATATTAGTGCTTCCTGTATCTCGAAGTCTTTGTTACACTTGCACAAATGTCCTTCTGTCTGGGTGTAACCGTTGGCGAAATCTGTCGGGATAGATTTGAGCTGCAAGATTTGAATTCTGTAAATCAAGACGACGACGTACGCTAAAAAGAACAAAAACAAACATACTAACCACTGTTACCGTTTGCGATCGATTGCTGGTTCGATAAGAGTGATGATGACCGACGCGCTGTTGTCAAGTGCGTTTTAAATATTCAATTTAACGAAACTTACATAGTTACTGACTATAAATTTTGGCTTAACTTAGAAAAAACTTAATGCCATTTATTTTGTTAATTACCAATTTAAAATCGTTTTAGATTAGATTATAAAAATTAATAAGATTGTGGTCGATATAAAGCACGTAAAGTTGTAAACTATAAAACCATTTAGACAAAAATCTATTAACTCTTTTATCATGGGTCATATGTTTGTTTTGACCACCCTATTACCCATTTCAATAATGACTACCATAACGTTTACACCCTGTATGAGACATAGGTTAAACTACAATTACGTATCGCCAGCCTGCAGCAAAACGCTAATTTACATTGTGGATCTTACCTTTGCTTTCCGTCAGCTTCTATATCAAACTCGGTTGTAAAGAACCAATGGACCTCCCAGGTCACATATTTGTTTCATCCTGTCTTCAAACGGTTGTATCTCATCGCTCTTTTCTTGTATTTTGTTCTGTATTTCATCGAACTCTGTTTGCTTGCTTCAAATTTGGCTCGACATTTTTCAACTTCCTCATTTATTATTCTTTTGGTTTCGACCTTTTGTTCAAGAACCTGCAATACGATTTTATATGTGATGTTGGATCCTTTGACTATGGATACTACAGAGTAGTACGTTTTCACTAATTGCGTTAGCATTTTTGGAATAAGACTAAACTGACAATACAGTTTTATCGTTGAATGCGTCCTAATAAAAATCCAGTGTGAATCTCTCAAAAAAGATTCTGAATGAATGTTTCAGTATAATTGCAAGAGAAAGCATTATTATTGGTGAATCATCGTTTAATGCATGATGAATTAAAGTCTTCCACCATTACTCCTGTGCAAAAAGTTCAACATTGTGAGCTACATACAGGGTGGCGCATCGAAAACGAAACAGACGCATTTACTGACAGCTGTTTTTTTTTCGAAAAACGCTGAGACCCGTCGATTTTGTTTTCGAGGGGGACACAAGTTTGGCAAAAAATCACGTTAACACGTACAGCCGCCTAAGTGGGAGTGACACCACCCAAAAATCTTAAATGGAAAGGGGGGTCGAGTGATACCTTATTTTAAAGATCTTTCAATTCCCTTTATAATGATGTAAAATTAATGTACTTCAGTTCAGCAGTTTTGAAGATTTATTGATTTAAAGCTTAAATAAAACTAATACATCATCATTAGTGGAGATCAATACATTTGGCAGCAAAGTAATTTAAAAATGAAGAATGAACTGACCCGTTACGCAAGTAAATGTTGAAAATGGCCACCATGACTCTCCATGCAATAATGAAGATTTTGCTCAAAACGTTGTCGAACATTTTGCAATATTTGAGGAGTAATTTGAAGACACTCATTCACAATTCTGTGTCGAAAGGTCTTCTAATGATGTTGGCTGAGTAGCATAGATTTTGCTTTTTAAATGACCCCACATAAAGAAATCCAAAGGTGATAAATCTGGCGATCTTGGGGGCCATTCAATGGCACCTCTTCTACCAATCCATCGATCTGGAAACATTTGATCTAAATATTGTCGAACACGTAATGCGTAATATGGTGGGGCACCATTATGTTGGAACATCAACCTATTCGCAATGTACCGCCAATCATTCTGATTTTCAATTATGGCTGTTAATGCAGGATCTATGGCGTCTTTCAGTTATCCCAAATACATTTCACTGGTCAAATTTCCAGGTAAGAAAAAAGGACCAACTAAATGATCGCCAAAAATACCAGCCCAAACACTTAATTTTTGTGGCTGCTGTGTATGAACCTCATGATAAATTCTGGGATTAGAATCGGACCAATATCGGCAGTTATGACGATTTACCACGCCATTTAAGAAAAGGAACATTCGTCGGAATAGCAAGTGTGGAATAGAAAATGTTCATCGTTTATAATTCGTTCACTCACAAAATTGTAATCGCCGATCAAAATCGTCTTCATTAAGTTCTTGTACAAGGTGAATTTTATACGGATGAAAAGTATGGGCCTTTAGAACCCGTTGGACAGTACGTCTACTAACACCACACACAGTCTCCAATTTGCGGATACTTAACGTAGGATCTACATAAAACTTGTCCTAAAACCCTCACTTCTATTGCTTCGTCCCTTATGGGATTTTCAATGTTGAGTTTTTTATTGGCGACTGACCCAGTTTCCCGAAATTTAGCTACAAGTTCTAGAACATATTTTCGATGCACGTTACTGTTCTCATGTCGCATTACTTTTTGCCACAAAAAAACGCTCCAATAGCTATTTTCAACAACAAATTAAAAAAATCATTTATTACCACCACATTTAGAAAACCTCACAAAATAAATACAATACAAAAGGGAGTATTTGAATCTAGTATATTAAATTAAAATTAACTTTATGAATAGCCAAAATGTAAGTGATTGTAATTTTAATACACAAGTATATAAAATAACGGAAATTTGATTCAAAAAATGTGTAAACGAAAATTATAGATAATTGACATTGTAGCATTAATGCTAAATAACTTTTCAACAAACAAACATTGACATTACTATGTTCCCACGTACGCCTTGAAGAGATTCCTCGTAATTATCGTTTTTATCACATATTAAAGCACAAAACGTGATTTGAATATCCACAATTCCGTTATAAAAAACTATTAACTACAAAAGAACCTACCAAAGTTCTAGTTGTCTATTACATTGACATTACTATGTTCACACGTACGCCTTGAAGAAATTCCACGTCAATCGTTTTTATCACATATTAAAGCACTAATTAAAACGTGATTTAAACATCCACCATTCCGTTATAAAAAACTATTAACTACAAAAGAGCCTACCTTAAGTTCTAGTTGTTTATTCTTGATATCCTGTCTCACGAAGTCGATATATTTATTATATTTCACGGTTTCGAAGATCTCGTCAAATTGTTCCTCGACTTTTTCCGGTTGATCTAAAGGCCAGTAACTGTTTTCTTGATGACAGAATAAGACGTGGTTCAGTATGGATCTAGAAACGCCTAGAGAGTTGCAACAGAAGTCATCTGCGTCCTCGCATCTATTGGAAAGGCAAAAGACATTTTTGAAGTTGTTTACATTATTTATGAACAGATCATCGAGGAAATAGAATTTTAACAGAATTTCAAGCTGGATTCAATTGAAACGGCAATACAAATAGTATTAGAGGACTGGACCAGCAATTGGCATTTTTTCGGCTTTATATATTTATAAGTATTTTACGTAATTATTTACATGTTATCCTTTCTGAAAGTTATAAATTACGATTTTTTCCGCCTTTTTTAGTGTTCTCAAAAACTTTGAGGTTAATTACGGGAAATTATCACCGCACCCCGCGCCTTGTATTTAATTACTGTTAGCATGTATATGACTTGTAATTCGACAGTATATAGTGAATATATTTATATATATATATCGATGGTGTCAATGCAATACCTCGTACCTACGAAATGTCAAAATTTCAGGAGACAATGTTTTGCATAATAATTAATACTTGTAAGTGTTTTATTTAGTTTAACATTGTTCTAGGCCTTTAAACAAGCGAAAAAATTATTATTTTAAGTTGTCTTCTAAGAAATAGGTATTTAGTAATTATTATGTGAGATACGAAGTATTGCACAAAATTTTTCGTCAACTTTGGAACTTACGAGGTATTGTACTTATAATGAAAACCCATTTAGATTTTAGAACAATTTTATATCAAATCCATTAAAATACAAAATAGAAGATACACAAAAACTATATCCAAGTTACAGTAAAAAAATGAACAGGAAACAAGGAAATATAAAAATAATAAAAACCTATTTGAAAGGTAAACTGTCATAAAATGGCCAATAATTTTGACTAATTTTGGTTTTTATTTCTTGTAAATGATCGTATTTCTTCTTTGCAATTGGCAGTTTGTGCTCAAACAATTGGAGAAATTGGTTTATGTCGCTTGGGGTCCTTCTTGGACGATGAGGGTAATTCTGCAAACTCTTGGTCGAAATTAATTTTGTATGTTATCAAGCCTTGTTCATACTGCAGTGTCCTTATCTGCGTGACTGTCGGATCATTGGATTTTTTACCAGGGCGGATTGAATAGTAGACCAAATCGGCACTATAGTTTTTGAAAAAAGTAAAATCTGGAGTTACGACTTCATAAGGAAATGGTTTTTGACGCGCTTCTCCAGTAAGACGATAGTAATCATTTGGTATTTCGATGTTCTTATTTTTAGCTTTCTTTCAATAACAGCATGAACACTATCACATTCCATTTGAGAGTGACCTTTAATCAAGAACTTTTGAGTTATTTGCACATTATATTGGCGTGATAGTCTAAGCAGAGCATTTGCCATGGTACTGTTTCTATTCTGATATGTGCAACCATCAGAATAAATTATTATTGGTTTTATGTGGGCTGCATTTTGAAGATACTTTTTTGTTAAATAGTCTACAAGAAGTGATGCAAACGTGGACGCTTGAATATCTGCGTCCAGCTCAGTGAACCAATAGCAAGTACATTGATTTGTAGCTAGATCGTATACAGTAAAATTATGGCATACAAGCTTAGTTTTAAAGTAAAGCGAACTCGTTTGTAAATAAGGGCAAGTTTTAACGGCTTGCAGATCTACTGTAATAACATGACAGACTCCCTGCATTGCTTTTCTTTATCATCATTTTTTTCTTTTTGAGCTCTCTCTTTGTCTGTTCTATGTTGTTCCCAGTCTTCTAGGCTTAGATTTTGAGATTCATACTGTACACATGTATCACACCGATCCTTGCGAGGCTTGAATATACCAATATTCTTTTTATGTACCCACTTTATTAATGTATTTCTACTGGCTGGTGCTGTGTTTTGTGTTTTTGAATAATCCACGAAATCTTTATATAAGTCTGAGTAACTAGAAAACTCATGTTCAAGGTACAACTTTGTAGTGTCTTTCCGACAATAGTGACTAGGAAGCTTTCGCAATTTTTCTAGAATGTTGTTATAAATGAATCATTTTGGGATTTTCTGGGTAATCTACGACTGTTAGTTTCTGCTCCACTGGAAGGTGTACCGTAATGCGATGTCTCCACCCAGCTCTTTACACTCCATTCCCCAAGCCCCAGAGTTCCCAAAAACATTTTTTACAGACGGGTATAAGCTTATCACCAACATTCAAGCTATAATATAGGGAGCAGGAACGTCGAGAATTTTCATCTTTTGTTTTTCTAGACGTCTCCTGTCTTGAAACAAGGTTGCAGACATATACCTTCCTTTGGTCCCAACTCAGGTTCTTCCAAAAAGCTGTAAAAATTTCTTTTCGTGCGTCTTCTCTGATTTCATTACATTTTCTTTTTGAGCTGTTCTTACAGGTTCTGAGTTACACCTTTCGCCTTGTTTCCGCTCTTCTCTTTCTGTATCTTGAAACGTTCTTTTTTCATTTCGTGGTCGCCTAAATCCTGTATAAACCATACCCTTCATTCTAAGTTCCTTATTTCTTTACGATTGGACCCAGACTGTGAACTGAAATTATTGTTCGGTTCTTCGTTTATGATAATTGGTGGATTTGTTCCTACGTCCTCCACTGTCGAAGAGCTTCTGTTGGAATGACACATTGAAATTTGATTTATATGAATAGGTGCATCTTCAGCGGAAATGATATCCCGCTGTACCCTTGTCTCTTCTAAAACACCATTTTGATCGGCAAACACAGTTGAGGAACCTATTACTGAGTGATTATTTATAGCATCTAGGCTGATGTCATGGATTACATTCTGTACAGAAAATGGCACTATTTCATGTTGGTTGGTGTCTAAATTTTCAGGCATACTTGTAGTAGGAGAACCATCGTTCAGATTTCGGCTACTGCTAGTTCGAAAGCGTGTGATTATAGTGTTATTCTGTAGTTCAAGAAAATCTGATTATCGAAAACTATCTCTGCTTGGTCTCTTAATTTTTCAAAATCCTAGTTTGCTGCTCTTGAGTTGGAGAAATATCTGAAACAATATTTTTCCAATCAAAAAACCTATAGGAGATAATTTTTCCTCAAGTACTACTATGATTCGGAAAAAAGTTAGGGCGAGGAGGGTGAATTTTTAGCCGTCACAATGTTTCTGGCATTATAAAAATGTAAGAGAAACGAAGGGAAAGCATAACTGATAAGAAATAAGACATCAAATCAATGGGAAGTTTCATCTAATCCTATGGTATATATTCTGTTGTTACTATATAAATAATTATTAACTTACTTGTGCTTGACAAGGACGCAGCTTGGCACATTTCCAATATTTTTTTTGCCACGCATCTTGCAATTTTTGATCTATAACAAAAATAACAAATTGCAAGAGAGAAGCACTTATCTGACATGCAAATTTATATTTTGACAGGTCAATAGACGACGTATCTACGAAACAACTACTCGTATCGCTAGGGCAATAGCTTGTATCTTCTAAATAAGAAATATTTGTCAATTTCAATGTCACGTATCTGCCACAACTACATAATACAAGCTGAAACAACAATAATTGCTACTTTTCTTGCCAAATGTCATACAACTACATGTTTAATATATATACTAATACCTACAACAATTAAATCAAATATAAAACGATTTCTTACCTTATTTTTCTGCGTTAAAGCATCAACACTCACATAAACACTCTACAGAAGACGCCATATTTTAGAGATACGAGGTATTGCACGAATTTGAGCGGGAATTATGGGTAAATGCAAGCCAAAAAGGAACCGTTTGATTGTTCAGCACTGTCATGCACTCTAGCTCTTTGTCTATAGCGGGTAATTCAAATTTATCAAAAATGGAGATACGAGGTATTGCCTTGACACCATCGATATATATATATATATACGTGGTCCAGTAAGTACCACGACAAACTTAAGGTGAAGGTAGGCTTTGGACTGGCCTCCCAAATAACAAAAACTTACCTATATAAAATTGTCACCGTTTTTGAGATACTGATTTTTTTCTTAAATTTTAAACAAACGAAACTTTTCATCTGTGGTCTTTAGCTGCATGTACAAATAAGGTTATACTTTGTTCATTTTATTTATAAAATACTTCTAGACAGTTGCTTTATCTGATACAAATGCAATGCAGTTAAAAGATATTAAAGCCATCTCTGAAGCAGATGTTAGATCACATCAGAGCCAAACATTGATAGCTGAAGCATCATGACGTTTAGCCAACACGTACAGCTACAAAACTAATTCACAACAAATATACAACAGGTAGTGTAGGAAAATCTGCGTTATGTCACGAAAAACCTATAAAAGCGACAAAATGTCACTTTTCAAGATACGTAATACCCGTGCCAGATGATTGTAACTCCCAACAACTGTTAATTACACTACCCTGCACTGGTGTGGTGCGTGGTGATCGTGAACTACTTCCATTAAGTTTTTGTAAGGATTTGCTCATTTTATTTTTTTAAAATACGTACCTGGCCGATATATAATTTGTCTGTCCATTGAGTTCTTCTTTTCTTATATTCACGTCCAAGCTCTTGAACTGCATCTTTCCGTCAGGTTGTTTAGAAACCTGCATGAATCTGGATACCGTGATGACGTTGCCGGTATTGTCCGTGTACTTTAATTCAACGTTACCTGTAGAGCAGAACCATAAATTCCTACGAATTCGGACTAAGTAAAAGGAGTTAGCAAGAATGATATTATTATTGACCATTTTTGCTAGTATACACTTATGAACCCAAACATCCTGAAACTCTTGATAAATATCCCACTTTACTACTAATCTTGTTTATAATTTTCTCGTAATCAATATCAAAATTTAATTTAGAGTCAATGAAAACTCCAAGGTATTTAAACTTTTCTACGAATTCTTCATTTATACAGGGTGTCCCAGAAGTCGACGTCAATCCGGAACCGGGGGTTAGGCTAGTCATATACTTTTCAAATCACAGACTTTAAAAAAATCGGAAAAATCTACATCTAAAATAGGCTATTTGACAGTATTGAAAATAAGTTGCGAATTGTGGGTGATCCTATTAGATAATAGATAAGAAAACACATTACTTTAATGACACCTAAATATGTATATTTTTTGGGAAATAATCAAATAAAAATCAGCTATTTTTAAAAATTCGATGGGTCACAGAAACGCCCGATTGGCTGCGACTCTGGTGACGTCACATGCAAGTAAACAAACATCGCGTTGTACGTTTTTGCTGCTTTCTGTGAGATATTCTATCATAATTCTATTTCATAAACAGATTTTTATTACTTTCTTGATCAATCTTTCAACTATTGACATCATTATTCGTTGTGGACTTCAAAATGGACCTAAATTTTGTGCAAGCTGATAACAGCAATCTACCTAAGGTTGACGCATTAATGGTAGCATTTTTCTTCAAAAATAATGCGGACTACTATGCTGCGGAACTCAAACATGTGAAAACAACAATGTAAGTAGTAATAGAAAGTATTTATTTATACCTACTAACCTTTATGTATGATCATAAAAGATTTGTAAAATCAATCTTATTTTAGGTTATGTTGATGTAATGAAAAAAGCTTTCAGTTCAATATGATAATATGGTTCATATATGGTTTCATGAATAAAACATACTTTCATGTTTTGCTTTTGTTTTACAGGTCTGGAAGGGAGTCCTACGGAGACGATGCAATTGGCTATGTGCAGCTGCACCGGGAGCATGGACTTTGCACTTAAGTGCAAAATATGCCCAGAGCACAAGTGAGATCAAAAGCTTATAATTGACAATGGTTATCAAACGAAATGAAAGCGAGATATAAGTTGTCAGTGGCCATACTGTGCTGCTTCAGCAGGAGGCTGCCAGCATGCAGTCGCTTTTTTGATGTGGGTACATCGGCGCAGTGAGGAACCTCCATCTACTTCGTTCGGCGGAATGTTATTGGAAAAGCCAACATTGTCAAGAGTAGGACTACTCACGGTGCAGCAGATGTCGAAAAGGGAAGTAACCGCACAGACCAAGTACATCAGCAAACTTACACAGACTTTATTTGGAACCCAAAAAAAGAAAACTTCAACACCGGAATTGATAAAATATCAGGACGATTTAAACACTCAAATGTTTAATGCGGTATTCGCTGCACTGTTTCATAATGGACCAACCACCAAAAATTCAAGCAGACGTAGACAATCTTGTAGACATAATGAAGACAACATTCAACAGAGCTGCTATCAGTGCAATTGAAGAAGCAACAAGAATGCAGTACAAGAGCAGCTTGTGGTATGAGATGAGGTATGGCCGTATCAAAGCTTCAAAGGCACATGAAGTGAGCGTATGTCATACACCGGATGGTTCATTGGTTGCTACTATAATGGGCGCAAAAATACCAGATACTATTGCAATGAAAAGAGGTAGAAGTTTGGAGCTATCTGTCCGGAAGACAGTTAGTACAACATTGAACAAAAAAATCAGAACATGTGGCTTTATGTATGCCAAGACAATCCCATGCTTGCAGCATCTCCTGATGGTTTATTGAAAGATGCCATTGTTGAAATAAAATGCCCTACCAAAGCAAAAGCTAAGAACAATTATTTAAAAAATGGAATTATTTCAGAGAAATGTAAGGCACAGGTTCAATTACAGATGCATGCAACTGGTGTGAAAAAATGTTATTTTTGTGTTGCTCATAGCAACTTTGAAGAAACAAAAAATGTAGATATTATTCTAGTGAAGTACGAAGATGATTGTCAACAACTTAATAAAAAACTTGTATATTTTTTGGAAAAGAAATATATATCCTATTTTGTATCGTAGCACTAGTCTGTGATTATCAAATAAAAAACTATGCAGTGCATATTTCTTGTTTTATTATCATTTTATTCATGGTTTTACATCATTTATTTCTTTATTTATAGTAGTAGTAGTAGAAGTATTTATTCAGCCAAGTACAAAACACAAAGTTCAAATGGTATGTCACAAAAGAGGAGATTACATGATAATAATTAAGTATAAAGTATCATAACAGGCAAAAACCCATTATTTAATAAAAGAATCTTGCAAATTTATTAGAGCACATGCAATTATAATGACATGATCAAGTACACGACGTATGTTAGTATTTATCACTGAATGTTGCTTTAAAATATGAAATTCTCTCAACGCCTTATTACCCTTTCAATATGAATCCGCAAACTAGCTATTATTTTAGTTTGTCGAACTTCAGTTTTTGACAACTTTGCACCAGCATTTACACTGGGTGGCCTTAATAGTTTTAGTCCCTTTTCATGAAATATTTGTTCAAGGTGTTTGAAGCCTCTGTCAGCTAAGCAACAGGATCCTTGGGGTAATCCATCTAGAAAGTTACAATTTTCTACTATTGTGGCATCGCTGGTTCTGCCCCCAAACCCATGCGAAACATAATTAACTAAACCATTAGGTGTGCAGGATACTAAATACTTCACAGTATTCCCCTTTTTGTACTCTGACCACGTCAATGACTGATGAAGAGCCTTTGATGGTTTTTGTATATCAATCTCTAAACAATCTATGATGCAACTGACATTATGATAGTTATGTCTAAATGAAATAGGAAGATTTTTTTTTACCAATTTTTTATCTATATTTACAATGAATGGTCTTAAAACACTAGCTATTATTGGTATATTTTGTAGAAACAATTTACTAGCATAAGATAATGATATTCCAAAATTATCCTCCAGTTCAGAAAATGTACTGTTCATTCTAATCTTTTTCAAGCATAGCAAAATGTGTTCTACTTTTATGCTTGTGTGTTTATGTAACAATTTGATTAAGAAATAACATTCTTTTGGAATACCAACATACATCATTGGTTTTTTAGAGATTGAACGCATAGTAATTTTGAGGCACTCTAATTTTTCAATATTCTCATTGGCATCTGTAACATTACTATCAGAGTCGGTAAGCCCTGATGATGATGATGCTGATTTAGTTACAAAAGGTGATAAATGACGACCACATTCAATACAGGAAATATCACTATCTGACTTTTCATCTTCAAGAAAAACATTTCTCTTGACTGCTTTGACAATTTCAGACTGTGATGGTCGAAGACTGCATGGTTTAATCTTAAAGGGCGAAGTGGAACGAGATGTTGTAGAAACTTTCATTGGTGAGGTAGAAATACTTGTAGTCTGGCATCTTGTTTGCACAGATTTGCTCCTATGATGCACATTCTCTTTTATTGTTACTTGCACAGATTTTTCTGCAGTTATGATTGAGTTGGTAATAGTTTCTCTGTCTTGAGTTCTTGATAAACCTGAAAGAACAAAGACTCAAAATTAATGTCTTAATTTCAATGTAAATGATTATGTTAAGGCACTATGAAAAGTTGTCTACTACCTCCTACTACCATTATCACTGAAGAAAAAGTGCAGTGCTGGATAAGGGTTAGTGAATCACAACATCAACAGCTTGAGAGAAAATTACCCATTACCTGAAGTACAAGTTGAGCATTCTTGATCACCTAGCAAGTAAAATGTTCCACTAAAATGTATCAATTTTAAACCATAAATATTATTCTGTGAAAATGTCAATGTGCTACAAATATGTTATTCAGTTCTGCCCTTTTTATTCAGAAATAATGGAAGAAGTAGTAGACAAGTTTTTATAAGGCCTCAAATAGGTTACAAAAATGTCTATCAGCTCTTAGACTATAATTTATGATAGGACACATGTAATAGATTACATACCTTGAGGTTCAATAATGTCTTGTATCAAACTCTCATCTTTTTATAAGCTTTCAGCTTGGGCTTCAGTAGCATTTTGACTTTGCAAACATGTGGTGACCAAATCCATTCTTTTCCTCTTGACATATGCTCCTCGAGAAGTCCAGCATCAGACAGTGGTCTTTTACGATCTTCTTGACAATGAAATTTTGTTGGCACAGCATCTTCTGTCAAAAGTATCTTCTTGCTGAAACCCATTTTGTACTGCATGTAGTTAATGGTGTCTTTTTCCATCTGCAATTCAACATAACTATCACTATCTAATAAGCAAAGTAGGTAAAATGACACAGCATAGAAAATTATTGAGATATGTAGGTAGCTAATATAACCAAAACAACAGAAAACATTTTGAAACCCTACAGAGTAATAAGTTTAGGGTTAATAAACAGGATCTTTGATCCTCAACACTGACTTATCCTCACATAACCAAGATACATTTGAGGTTATAGATAGTTATATATTATTTCAATCTTAAAAAAGCGGTAATTTAAGCTACCTAGTAGATAACATATTCAATTTATACTTACATCGAAGTGATCTTCACACATAAATACATTTGAAGTCGATGAAATGCCCTTTGGGTCTCTCCGAGCCAATAGTAACCACTTTTTTCGTCTTTTACAATCGGTTGGAACAGAAACAAACAATGTTTGTGGACTATTTATAGACGTATTCGTACATTTTGGCACTACACACCATTTATAGACCATTTTATCTATGATTTTATAGCAAAATCAAGCACAATAATGAAATTAACTTCGGCTGACAGCTCGTGATCGTGTTTACTGGCGTGTGACGTCACAGACGTCATCTGCCGGCGCCATCACAGGAATAGCGTTTTTGGCGCGGTTCTAAAATTCAAACTTTAAATTTGATTTCTATTAAAAATAGTATAGATTTTCAGGAAATATTCATGTAGTGTGCTCATTATATATAAAAGAATAATTTAAAATGATTTTGCAAAATTAGTCAAATAGCCTATTGTAGATTGGCAATCTCTAACGGGCAACATATTGAACACTTATTGAAATAAAACGTGATATTGTCGTTTGTTTTTGTTTTCAATCTGAACAAATTAAGATAAATAAAGATTTTTCGAATTTTTAAGGGAATTATCCTGAGGAGCCGAGGGTGAAAGGGGGTGTGAAGTTGTTTTTATTTAAAAAGTTGTCGCCGTTGACAAATCTTCTGAGGTGTCGTTTTTCAAGGCCAAGAAAAAACAGTTGCCATTGTCCTACTACTCTCAATTACATGAATATATCCCAAGTAGTGTCACTCGTAGGTGGTCGACGGTATCTGACTGTCTAACGCGGAGGTACCACCTGGCGGATCTCTCTCGCTAGAGGTCGTGAGCGCCCGCCGATTTCTTTGTATCCCCCTATAGCCTACGGTACCCATGGGTGTGTTTAGGCCTTAGGCCTTCGTGAAGGTTTAAGTAAAAAAACTTCTAAGTTGGCTTGTTCGCTATCCGTATCTGTGATCAGGCGTATACAGCTCCGTTTCATGCTAGTTAGCAATAATCAGTAGCGTATAGGTCTTGCCCTGGAAACAGGCCATTTAGTGTGCCAACGCTGTTATATCCAAACTAACATCGAATACCTACAGAGCTCTCTATACTAGGGTGTCCCAGCCTAAGAGGATAAAAAGATTTGTATTCGAATTGAGATGTATCCTCTATTTTTTCCATTTGACTCTAACAACTCAGAAAATAAATATTTTTCGCGATCGGGGAACGACAACCCGTGCACGACTTTCGGTCAAACTTTGAATTTGAAAGTTAATAGGAAACGATGTATGGATTTGAAAACCTAATTCTTATCCGACAAATAAGACACTGCTATATTTGTATCTTATATTTCTTAGATATTTATCTTTAAAAGAAAATTATTCACTAAATTTTTTTTTCACAGTTTTCTTTTATAGTGAGGATATACCTGCCTGTGTTCTTAGACGCAGCGCGATAAAAAATGTGTGTGGAAGCTCTGCGTCAACTTGACTGCTCTTTCTGCCATATCGTTAACTGTTCACAGGCTTGGGCATTATTCTTAGCGTGTTGAAAAGAATTATTATGTGGCCATGAAGTTAGACACTAATCGAGAACACTGTGAGTCGACTGATCAAGGATTTGCTCTTGATTTAAGCAATATTTTTCTCTAAAATGAAAAAACGAAGAATAGCTACCATCTAAACATACTGGTTTTGTCTGTTCAGCCACAGGACCATGGACAGATGTTTTGTGCTTTTTGGCTACTTATCACCATCATCTAGGCTTGGCCTCAGGTCGGGACAACGAACGAAAGCGTAGCAACATAGATCTGAGGTATAAGATCTATCGAAACAAGACAGTAGAAGGTAGCATATATTGTTTGAATAGCAAACTTAGCTTTAGAAATGGTTTTGTCAATACTTTTGTAAGCCTTCATAGCCTTCAAAAAGCATAAATTCTGGTTAGGTGCTTTGCATTGCAACCACGGTTTCACGTGCGTTCTCACGATGAACAGGCCGATATCCAATTTTATCCGTATTAAAAAGATTGAGCTGGGAGCTGAGTATTGCTATTTTTAATGAAGAGATTGCTCTGCCCGTCCATCGAGCTTGATGAATGGCGTCTCCCTGTCGAATCTTACATTTTCTATCTGTATTTACACCAGGGAATAATAACGAAAGTTCTATTAATTCTCGATAGTCGTCTATAGCAGCTTCTTTAGTCAATTCATGTCAATAAAATTCTAGCAGGAATACCAATTCGTAGATGTGATGCCGGCAAGTAAAAATAAGTATAAGCATATAAGCACACAGGCACCGTTAATGCGACCTGTATTTGAACCACTAGTATCACAACAGGGAATCTGAACTTGATCTTCAAAATTCCATTCAATAACAGCCTCCCAAACTGCCTGAGCCTACTCGCTGCCTGACGAGTTATCCAATTTGGGCATAGCGATAAATTGCTTTTTATGTTCATGCGTTATAATAATCAGTAGACTTTATTTTTTAGAGTTGGGTGCATTTAAAGGTATCAACAATTTGCCATCTCAGGGGACAGCTACAGTATCCGGTACCTAGCCTTGGAAATCAAGCCTTATAGCTTCTGCGCGCTCCTTTCGCTTTTCGGTACGAATTCTTTGAATGGAAGACTTGCTTATAGGAACCTGAACCGGCCTATGCGCTGGCTCCTTATGGTGGCCGGAATGCCTCTAGTCTCACGATTCATTCACTCATATAGGAACCTCGTCAGTATTATGTCCAAGTACCTCGATAGTTGCTTCAATAATAAAAACAGCATTTCTCATACTTAACTGACACCTATCTAATGCTGACACTAATTTTGAAGCTATGAAACTTTTCCTCATTTGAGTTTGATTTGTATCAGGCTGTGTGCTCCGACTCGGAGTCTGAAGATGCATTTTCTTGTACTGGTTCGTAAGATGATATCGAAGGAGTTAAGGAAGTAACGTATTTGGCTTCTATTTTTCGGTCTTTTATGGCTTATTCCTTGTCCACATCAGCTAAATGACGAGGTCAACCTGGCTCTCTGCCGCTGCAAGAAGATCCCATCTTCATTTATTTTCATCAATTGAAGTGCATCAGCATGCGCAATATCAAACGGATTTTTCAAGTTCGTAACAAACTCTTGTCAATGTTGCTCAAACTCTTCTTGTGTTTTGCTTGCACTTTTTTAGCAAATCTTTCCAAACTTGGTATAATCTAACCCAGTTTCTTAACACGGCTAGGTAGAAATTTAGTCGGTATACGTACTTCTTTCCAGTAATGAATGCACTCACGAATAGAAAGGTTATACAAAACAAAACTACTAGTACTTGCCCATTAGAGGGAAGTTTTGAACCGGTAGTTTAATGCTTTACTTTCCGTATTAAAAATATTCCCTTCTTAGAACTGCGTAATTCCTTCGACATCATGACGAAAACGAAAACATTGTGTTTACTATCATAATAGAACAAACGAACACTGCACGTACGTTAGCTAGCGCTTGAGTAGTACAGCTATAGGCGTTCCCGACCACCTAAAATAGCATGTGAAATTGTACCGTAAAACTTATAGGCGTTCCCGACCACTACACGTTCTGGACCAAAGTACGTTCTAGACCAGTCACTCTAGACCAAATTACAAAAAAAAAACCGTCGTTTTTCAACGCCTTTTTGCCACCATCCCCCTTAGTCGCGCGCGCGCGTGCGCATGCGCATGGGGCTCGTTCTGGCGAGCGTACTACTGGGGGTAGGGGAGGTGAGGGGGTGTAGATAGCAGAGAATAAACGATACGCAACTACTGGGGGGGGGGTAGGTGAGGGGGTGTAGATAGTAGAGAATAAACGATACGCTGTAAGGAGTTTATCTATCTTTATTTTGAGGTACGTTATGCATAAACAAAACATTGTACATCTTGTTTTGCTATTCTGGGAAACTTTTTCTTAAATTCTTCCACTGTATACTCTTGATCTCGATACTCTAGTTTTCCACCATGACCGACTAGCTTGTGCAGTCCATATCTACCGCAATGTAATAAGTTGTCTTTCATCGTCGTTATAGGATAATAATTTAAGTGATGTCCGATCACATACCCTATAGTTCGGTTGTCTTCGTTTTTAATCACTGTACCAAATGGCAAGCCACCTGACGTTCCATCGTAATAGAACGCTGGGTATTCTTGTAGCACGACCTTGTCGTGTTGATAGATTACGTATATGTAAAATGTTCCATCTTCCTGAACTGGTACAGTGAAGTCGAGAACTTTTATTACCCGTTGATTATTAGTGTGTGACGTCATTATTGCATTTAATTAAATGTTCACAGTTCAGTGGTTGACTGATGATTGAAAAGATTACATTGTATGTAGATATATATAGTACTTAGTCATTTGCAGATATTTTTAGACGTTTAGTCATTTTGGATGCAAATTTCTCACATTTCTCCAGTCTCTTAATTTTTTGTAACTGAGTACGTTCTTTTTGTTTCAGTGTTTGTAGTCTTTTACGTTCCTTGTTTAATTTTCTTGAAATTTCACTGAATTTCTTTTCGCATAGTCTGTTGACTTTTCGTAGATAACCTCCAATTATGCGCAGTTCATCGTTGTTCACATGTTTTCTATGAGTCACAATAACCATATCTTGCTCTTCAATATAATTGTTTACCAACTGTTGCATATCCTTTCCAGCATTATGATTTGCAGGAGCTGTTGACGATACATCAATGGTGGTTGAATTATTAAAAATATCATTTCCGATTAAGAATTCATCCATATCAAAACTATCAGCCTACAAGAAAAAAAAAAATGAACGAATTAGCTAATGTATATTTTTATGTAACCATGATAATAAAACTTACTGAATGTGCATAATTATGTGTCAATTCCAGATTTTGAGCAGAATTTTCTTCCATGGTAACTAGTTGTTGCGAACACAGCTTGGCTACGACTGAACATAACTATCTAAGGAAAGTGAACTACTAGGAATTTGTTGACGTATGTCATGTGACTTTCGAGAAGTATGAGTGTTTTATGATATATGTGCCATATATGTATATAAATAATAATAATACACGCCTATGCAATATAGAATAATACTGATCGTACCGCTGCGCTGTATGAATATGTGTGCTGAAGAATATTCTATAGATTTTAGTGAATACAATTCGTATGAAAAACGTATCAGTACATTTGAAAAAGGATGGGCTGGAACCATTAATCCTGCAGTGCTAGCAGCAGCAGGTTTTTTTATGTTGGAAGTGAAGATATTTGCCAAGCGTTTTGTTGTGGGATAATAATGTACAAATGGAAGGATGACGACTGTCCTATTAAGGATCATCTAAAATTCTCAAAAAATTGTGACTATGCTAAACGAATGCAGAAGCTATTGAATAGAATGGGAAAGAAGACGGACAAGAAATTTGATATAATGCATCATGTGATTTTACTTTTAGCTTCATATTTATTAGTTCATTTTGTAAGTTC